GTCTATTTCATAGACTTAAGCAAGCATCCAGGTCTTGAAACATCAGTTTTGATCAGGTTATCAAAATTTTGATTTTGAGAGAACCTTGATGAATGATGTGTATTTGTATGTAAATGATACAACAGAAGACAGTAGCTTTTCTGGTACTTTATGTAGATGATATGCTCCTTATTAGAAACAATGTAGAGGTAATATCAAGCATAAAGGGTTGGCTAAGTTAATGTTTTGGTATGGAAGTACTGGGGAAGCCAATTATATTCTTGGTATAAAACTCTTATGAGGCCGGAAGAATAAGTTGTTGGCATCATCTCAGGCTACTTACATTGACAAAACTCTTGCCAAAATTCAACATGAGAATTCTAAGAGAAGAATTATAATTCTCAGATGTGGAATTCATCCTCCTAAGGAGTGACCAAAGACTTCTAAGAAGGAAGAATGCATGAGCAAGATATCTTATGCTTTGGCAAAGGTAGACTCACGCATATCATGTTGGGCGTTAAACCAGACATCTGTCACGCAGTGGGAGTAGTGAGATAGTACCATTTTGAACCTAGAGGAATACTAGATTATTGTTAAGCATGTACTCAAGTATCTTTGGAGAACGAGAGATTATATGCTGGTATATTCTAGTGGGAGTCTTGAAAAGCTGAGTTTTCAAAAATTCAGTTATTTCAAGTGGATATTGACTCAAGAAAATCAACCTCGAGCTATGAGTTTTTCACTAAACTCAGATAGCATTAGAGGTGGATCTTGCAGACCCAGTTACTAAGAGTTTGCCTGAACTTGTGTTCGAGGGGCATGTTACTTCTTTGGGTCTTAGGAGGATCCCAGACTTGCATTAAGCAAGTGGGAGTTATTGGTTTCATTGTGCTCTTGGAGTAAGACAATGAAACAATAAAATAATTTTCTGAATTTCATAAATAAGGTTTTATTTATTTATTTTGCGCACTACTTACAAACATAAAGGTCCGGATCAAATTGTGGAGTATATGATCATATGGATACGTTCATAGAGGACATGATCATAGGTTCTCACAATTGATGAATGGATTCACAGCTGTTAAATAAAGTTGGGCACTTTATTTAGGCTGCAATATTTTATGAAATGGTTTTGTCTGAATCATTGTAAAATATTGGTGTGAATTAACATTCACATTGAAAGGATCAAGGAGAGATTTGATTAAGGTTGTTTTTCTGTCATAAGGTATCAAATCTCCAGTTAACTATAGTTATGGGATTGCTCTTAATCCTGAGTTTATTATAAATAGGTAATCAAATAGTTTTCATTCTTTGATTTACCAACGGGTGAGGTTCGATCTATTGACGGCCAATAACTCGGTATTTTGGGAGTGAGATTATTTGATTATCGGTATTTATGAGATAAACAACATGGAATTTGTAGGATATGTCCCCTTGATATGTTTCGGTACTTGGATATTAAAGACACTGGCCAGTGCATGTAATCCATTAAAGAAACTATCATAGTCAAGGGAATAAATAATTGATTGAGTTACAGAAAACTTGTCAATCAATTATAGACATTCTACAAAGGGGCGATGCATATTCATGTTATAAGTGTTGTTAATCTTGGAGTTCAAGTTCGGGCTTTTAGTGGAGTAGCACCGAATTAGATAATCATTCGTTGATTATCAGGAGCCTTGATTAATAACAGATGGTAGATCCCCAAGCTAGCTTGAGACAAGGGATGGGGTATTTTTCGGATAGATGATGACTTATGGGTTACATGATCTTGGGTTTTACGACTCAAGTTTGTATCCAAAAGAGCAAGTGGGAGATTGTTGGGTTTGCTCTTTTACTAAAGCCCAAATGGGTTATTAGTATGAGAAGAGCCCAAGGAACCTAGAGCCCAATGAGCTAGGGTTTCTTGGAACCCATATAAATAGTACCTCTTAAGTCATCAGCCTCCAAGGTCTTTTTTGTGAGAAAGAGGCAAGCTCTGAATCTAATCAGTGCCCACACACTTCCCCTTCCTCCTCGAGAGATAGTTTGGAAGATCTGCCACAGTCCAGCTTCAAGGAGGTTGTTCGTGCTGTGGCGCTGAGGTGAGCTGTTCGTGAAGAGGAATCCTACAAGGGAAGATTCTACACGAGACCTGCGCACCGAGAGGTAATTGTGATACAAGGATGATTCGGTAAGCATACCAATGTACTAGGTCCTAAACCGCTTCCGCATAAATCTAAGATTTCCTTCAAAGCCAACACAAAACAAACACAACGAACACAGGGTTAGTTGTTTGCTGTCATCAACCATTAACAAGACATTACATAAATCACCAAAGGCAGTGAGTATAAAGTTCAAAAAACCTAAACTGGGGCAATTAAAGAAGAACTGCTGATGTCATTGTTTCAACCATAATCCATAAACAATAAACCCAAATAAATAAAGGGAAAACTATTTTCCTTGTCACACAAAATAAAATTATCTATAATAATATTAAATTTATATCGTTAAAAAATTAATAAAGAATATTTTAAGAATTTTATTTATTTTTTTGTTATATGAATTTCCTCTAATCGTCAAAATGGCTAATTTTGGAATTATTGAAAATAAATTTATCTCCTAGGAAAAATGATAAAACTATAAATAAAATAAACAAATAAATGACCAATCTTGAAATGCCTAGAAAAACAGCACGCGAGGTTTTGTGCTGTGTGCACTCTCACCCTCTTCTGTTCTGTCTCTTAAGTCCCCGAATCTTACGAAGAAAGAGAACAAAAAGTGCTCAAAATCTGAAAATTCATAATTCATTAGAGGGAAAACAAAAGAACAAAAGAGGAAAAAAGTTGCTTCACTCAAATTCAAACACCGATTTAAACATTAAATAATTTCTCAGCAGTCAATGTAGAACGCCTCAACACGTTTCATTTATTTTGAGCATTTCATTTGCAGAGTGTCACACACGACACAATCTCCCCAGTCCTTTTCTCTTTTTTCTTCAGAATTTTTTTTCCCCTTGAACAAAATTTAATTGAAGGGAAATTCTTATATATTTAACAAATATTATTATGTATTGTTATATGCTTATTATATGAATTATTATCTATTATTTTATTTAAAAGAATAAATTCAAATTCACAAAACTGGATTTGAGAGGATAATAATGAGTATTCATTGCACGCAATCTTATTCGTATATATTTTACAAAGAAATTGTTTTTTTTTACTCACCCTCCTCTAAATTTATTATGATTGACATATAACATATTTAACGATATAAGATTTTTTTTAATTATATATCTTGTTGGACTTATGCTATTCAACTCATATTAAAATAAAATTCAGAAGAGCTTAATTAATACAAGGGTCACGGTCATACAAACATACAAGTGCTTATATACTATCTCCACCACAAAAGATTTGCATATTTCAAAAGTCAATGTGGTGAGTATCCATGCATTGTTAAGAGATATATTTTATGTGCTTATTTTATACAATGACGATTGAGTGTTACATGTAGCTCTAAATAGGTTAGGTTAGGTTTGTGTAAAAAATATTAGGTCTAGCTTAATCTATTAGTCTGTATAGGCCTCAAATTATAAATTTGATCTGAACTATATTTAAAAAATAAAAGTATTGTCCTAAGCCTATTAATCTGTTTAAGTCTATTAAATATTTAACAATTAAAAGAATAACTAAAATAATATTACTTTATTATTCAAAAGTATTAAAGTGATAATTTTATTTATTTTATTTAAAATAAATAATATAATATAGGCCGGCCTGTAGGCTTATAGGCTTAACATGTATAAAAAAGCCCATGACTTGTTTTCTAAATAGGTTTTTTTAAAAGCCTAAGTCTATTTTATTTTACTATTTATAATAGACTAAGCTTGATCTAACATAGGCTAACCGTAGGCCTATAGGGAGGCCGAACCCATTTACACTCCTACCTATTGCTCTTCATACACCTTTACATCAAGCAATCAACAATTTAAAAAAATGGAAAAAGTGTTTTCATCTGACTAAAGTTATATTTAGTGAACCCAAAATGACGTTGTTTTATAGTTGAAAAATTAAAAAATTAAAATGATAAAGACTAATATAACTCTAGAATAAATTAGAATTACAAAAATACATTTTTCTTAACTCAAAACGACATCATTTTAGACTGACTGAAGATAAATTATCTCTAATCACTGGAGAAATATTAAACCCTAAAAATTTTTGTATATAACTTAAGGAAGTGTTATACTTACCACCAATGAAATTTATCATTTCTTATCACCAAATCTTAACGTTTAATTTTCGTCAAACTAATGGTTATAATTTATTAAAAATTAATAATTAATTAATAAGTGTGACCCAATAAATTATAACTGATAGATTAGCAAAAATCAACGATTAAAATTTAATGATAAAAAATGATAAACTTAATTGAAATATTCCCCGATAACTTAATCATTTGTGTTATATTGCTTTTTAATAAAGGGTAAAGTGTGTGTCATTTTAAACGATGTAAAGTTCTGTCATTTTAAGAAAGAGAAAAAGATAGATAAAAGAGGAGAGAGAGTTGACAAAAAAATAAAAGTGTGGGTCCCACCTCTTTGTGAGAGTAAAATAATATAAATTGTGTCATTTAAAATGATAAACACTTTTCCCTTTAATAAAACAACTACATCTTTGTTTACCAAAAAACTACATCTTCATATAAATAAAATGAGATAGATTATTCTACCTACTATTTTTTTTGTCTAACTTTGTCTATCATTCTAAAATATCATTAGACCAGAATTTTAATTAACATTTATTTTTCTCTCTTCTCTTTAAATTCTGATCTAACGATACTGAAGAGTGATAGATAAAAGTAAAAAAATAATAATAAGTAAAATAACTTATTCTAAATAAAATAAGATAGTAAAAAATTAATTTTTTTTAAATTAAACAGACATTATGATAATAACACATTTAATAACATTACATATTTTAATTATACACACGCTTCATCCACCCATTACTGACTCGTTCTTCCTTTATTGCAATTGCCGTCGTTTCAACAATGCCTTTGACCTTGTGCAATTTCGCATCCTCTCTCTCTAACACCCTTCTTCTACTTCTTCTTCAGCCTCAACAACCATAACCATTGCAACACCACAGCGTGACCCATTTCTTATGCTACTTTTCCCTACCCTCTCATCGTGCTACCCATCATCACCTTCGCTTCTCTGTGCAAATTTTCTACCTCTGCAAAGTCTTAGTGATTTCAGGTTCTGGGGTTGCTTTCTTTTCTTTTGTTTTCTTTTGTTTTGTAAGGTCGATTTTGTTACTGTGGAAACTTGCTTGTGTGAGATACAACGTTGGAATATGTGGTGTCTCATGTTTTTGTCTCTGTGGGTTTCGGATCATGGGTGCTAAGGTTTTACAACCTTCTGATCTCATCTTCAAGAACACCACAATACCAAAGAGATTCCAACAATTCGGGTTTTTTCAAGATCTAGCTGAGTCAAAGTCAAGTATTCTGGAATCACTCTGATGGACACGAGAAACCCATCTGAGAATTCTTCCAATTTTGAATCTTTCATGTACAATTCATCATCACGCAGAAGTGCTATGTCCATCAAGTCTAGGAGTTTTGGTAGAAATTCAACAAAAGAAGTGACTTTTGGCCACTCAGGATCCAAGCCTGTTAGGTATGGATCAAAGGGTGCTGATTCTGAAGCTCTCAGCATGTCCCAGAAGGAAATCAGTGATGAGGATGCTAGGTTGGTTTATGTTGATGATCCTGAGAGGACAAACGTGAGGTTTCAATTTGCAGGGAATTCGATTCGGACTGGGAAGTACTCCATCCTCACCTTTCTACCAAGGAATATATTTGAACAGTTTCATAGAGTTGCTTACATTTATTTCCTTATAATTGCCATTCTTAATCAGCTCCCTCAGCTAGCTGTTTTTGGGCAGGGTGTTTCCATTATGCCATTGGCCTTTGTCCTTCTTGTTACTGCCGTGAAGGATGCATATGAGGACTGGAGGAGGCATAGGTCAGATAAAGTTGAGAACAACAGGTTAGCATTTGTTTTGGTTAATGGTAAGTTCCAAGAGAAGAAATGGAATGATATTAGAGTTGGTGAGATCATTAAAATCAAAGCAAATGAAGCCATTCCTTGTGATATTGTGTTGCTTTCAACTAGTGACCCTACTGGGGTTGCTTATGTACAGACTCTAAATCTTGATGGAGAGTCTAACTTGAAGACTAGGTATGCAAAACAAGAGACTCAATCTAAGTTGAATGAAAAGGAGAGGTTTAATGGGTTGATTAAATGTGAGAAACCCAATAGGAATATTTATGGGTTTCAGGCCAACATGGAAATTGATGGAAAAAGGTTGTCTCTTGGGTCCTCCAATATTGTCCTTAGAGGCTGTGAAGTCAAGAATACTCATTGGGCCCTTGGTGTTGCTGTATATTGTGGCCGTGAAACCAAAGCTATGCTCAACAGCTCAGGAGCTCCATCTAAGAGGAGTCGTCTCGAGATTCGCATGAACTCTGAGATCATCATGCTTTCATTCTTTCTTGTAGCTTTGTGTACAGTCAACTCAGTTTGCGCTGCTGTTTGGTTAAAGCTCCACAAGGATGAGTTGAATCTCTTGCCTTATTATAGGAAACTGGATGTTTCTCAGGGGAAAGAGGAAAGCTATGAATATTATGGATGGGGAGTGGAAATCCTTTTCACATTCCTAATGTCAGTTATAGTGTATCAGGTCATGATCCCCATATCCTTGTACATTTCGATGGAACTTGTCCGCGTTGGTCAGGCCTACTTCATGATCCGAGACTCTAGAATGTATGATGAGGCAACAAATTCTAGATTTCAGTGCAGGGCTTTGAATATTAATGAAGATTTAGGGCAAATTAAATATGTCTTTTCTGACAAAACTGGTACACTGACTGAGAACAAAATGGAGTTTCGATGTGCTAGCATCTGGGGTTTTGATTACAGTACTGGAAAAGCCAGTCTTGAGAATGAACAATTTGAATACTCTGTTCAAGGTGCATTTCCTTCTTCAAATATGTTAGTCTGTTATAATGCACTTTTAGCATTAAGTATATTGCATTTATTTTTTTACCAATTGACATGACATGTTTATTTTGTGTCATTATTTGCTCTCAGGGGATGGAAAGGTCTTGAAGCCAAAGATGAAGGTGAGTGTCAATCAAGAGCTTTTGCAATTATCAAAAAGTGGATTTGCAAATAAAGACGGGAAACGGATTTATGATTTCTTTCTAGCACTGGCAGCCTGCAATACTATTGTGCCTCTTGTTGTTGACACATCTGACCCTACAGTCAAGCTGATAGATTACCAAGGGGAATCACCAGATGAACAAGCATTGGCATATGCTGCTGCTGCCTATGGTTTTATGCTTATAGAACGAACCTCAGGTCACATTGTTGTTGATATTCATGGACAAAGGCAAAGGTAGATTTTTTTTTTTTTTACATAATTACTTTCTGCTTCAAGTATGGTGGAGGGTTAGACCCGCTGTTATTCCTATGTTCCAGATGGTCATTTTTTAGTCCTTTTTCCCTTCATTTCCCCCACTTCTTCTTGTCCCTTTCTTTTTTACTTTTATTTATTTATATATACATATATTTTTATTTCATTTTATTTTATTTTATTATTTTATAAATGTATTTTTATTTATTTATTTATTTATTTTTTATTTTTTTTATTTTTTTTTGTTACTTTTTTTCAACCGTTTTGTATCTTTCATGTGGGTTCATCTACCACCGACCCCAATTAATTTGGGATAAAGGTGTTGTTGATGTTGATGTTGATGTTGATAATTACTTTCTGCTTCTTTTTCTTCCTCAGACACATTTTTCATTGGCAATCTGAAATAATTTGGTTTTAATGGCTTAGTATTAATATTGTTTAAAGAGATAGTAAAAATATCTGCATACATTTTTTTCCCTTGGATTTTCCTGTTTATGTTTATGTTTTTTTCTATATGTTACCGGTACTAAAGTTTTGCATATGTGTTCTTCATGTTTATTCTTCCGATCTGTGGTGATATAGTTTGCATAATAAGCTTACGCTTCTTGGTTATTACCTAAATAACATGAAACCTCCTTTAATGAGGTCCCAAATCCCATGCTTGTCCCCTTTTTTAATGAATATTCCCATTATGGGCTGTGCAGGTTCAATGTCTTGGGTTTGCATGAATTTGATAGTGATCGGAAGAGGATGTCAGTTATATTGGGGTACAATGAAAATTCTGTGAAAGTTTTTGTCAAAGGAGCGGATACAACAATGCTTAGTGTGATAGATAAATCATTGAACATGGACGTAATACAAGCAACTGAAACCCATCTTAACTCTTATTCCTCTGTGGGTTTGAGGACACTTGTTATTGGGATGCGGGACTTGAATGCTTCAGAATTTGAGCAATGGCATTTTGCCTTTGAGGCAGCAAGTACTGCTTTGATTGGTAGGGCTGCTATGCTTCGCAAGGTTGCTATCAATGTTGAGAGCAATCTCTGCATATTGGGTGCAACTGCCATCGAAGATAAACTGCAGCAAGGTGTACCAGAAGCTATTGAGTCTCTAAGGATTGCGGGTATTAAAGTATGGGTGTTGACTGGGGACAAACAGGAAACTGCCATATCAATTGGCTACTCCTCAAAACTCCTAACGAGCAAGATGACTCAAATCATAATTAATAGCAACAATAGAGAGTCATGTAGAATACGTTTACAAGATGCCCTTTTCAGGTATGGAAGAAACATGGCTGCATCTGGGATTACCAACAATTCTGAAGGAAGTTCTGATGCTGTTACAACTCCGACAGCCTTGATTATTGACGGTAACAGCCTTGTATATATTCTTGACAGTGAACTTGAAGAAGAGGTAAGAGCCATTAAATCTAGATGGTGTTTACAATGTATTTCATGCTCATATCTTATGTGCTGATTTTGCCCAATGCTGTTGATTCCAGCTCTTTCAACTTGCAAGTAGATGTTCTGTTGTTCTCTGTTGTCGAGTGGCTCCATTGCAGAAGGCTGGGATTGTTTCCCTTGTGAAGAATAGGACGGCTGACATGACGCTAGCCATTGGAGATGGTATAAAATCTTCTGTTTACTTGTTTCAGATTATGATTTCACTTCAAAAATAAAAATGAAAACAAAATACAAGAGCAAATAAAATGAAAGAAAAAAGAAAAGAAAAACCACTGGTCGAAAATAAAGATTTAGTTTGCTTGGCCTGATACATGTTTCATTTAAAATAATCTCTACCATTTATATTTTGCAGGTGCTAATGATGTATCAATGATCCAAATGGCTGATGTTGGAGTTGGCATCAGTGGACAGGAGGGTCGGCAAGCTGTAATGGCTTCAGATTTTGCAATGGGGCAGTTTAGGTTTTTAGTTCCTCTCTTATTGATACATGGGCATTGGAATTACCAACGACTGGGTTACATGATACTATACAATTTTTACAGAAATGCTGTCTTTGTTCTTGTCCTATTTTGGTAAGTATATTTCAGCAAATGTATATATGTAGATGCTTTCATCATGCAACTTTTAATTTGAGTATGCCACAAACATCACCTTTATGAATTTCTTTTTCTATCAAGAAAAAAAAAGTTTCTTAGTTCTTGTTATTGGACTTGATGTACTTCTGAGCATGTACTTCATTGAATCTACTTGGTGATTTGGATACAGATGTAATATGAAACCATTAACATGTCTTCCCCTTTTGGGATAGTTGGTTCATGATATGGTATTGGAGCCTCTATGACCAAGTGCTCTAAAGTTCAATTCTTGTCATTTCCACTCTTTTAATGAAAAGTTAAATTTCAAAAGGTATGTGGGCCGGTTATAGTACACGCTTTAAGCCCAAAGAGCTCCTACGTGAGAGGGGTGTTAGAGATGTAATAGAAAATCATTCATGTAGCTTCTCCTAATAGCTTAAGCATTTGGGCTAGTTGATTTATGACATTTCTTCTATGTTCTATTTTGTGGTTTTTAATCTGCTCAAAACTCACTATAATTTTGGATAAAATGTGTTTAAAAATAATTTTTAAAAAAAAATGTGATTATAGGCCTTTGTGTCTATTAAGATTTATGCCTCCAAATATTAACATCTTTGTATTTTGTTATGTGTCGTTGTCTTCTAGGTATGCACTCTTCGCTGCGTTCACTTTGACAACTGCTATAAATGAATGGAGCAGCATGTTGTATTCAGTAACCTACACTGCATTTCCAACTATTTTTGTTGGTATTCTTGACAAGGATCTTAGTAAAAGGACTCTCCTAAAGTATCCTCAGCTTTATGGGGTTGGGCAGAGAAAAGAGGCCTACAACCAAAAATTATTTTGGTTGACAATGGCCGATACTTTGTGGCAAAGCATTGTTGTCTTCTTTACTCCTCTCATTGCATATTGGGGAAGCACTATAGATGCAGCAAGCATAGGAGATCTTTGGACTCTTTCAGCAGTCGTTTTGGTTAATTTGCACTTGGCCATGGATGTCATAAGGTGGAATTGGGTTATTCATGCAGCCATTTGGGGGTCTATCATTGCAACTTTCTTTGGTGTCATGATTATTGATGCTATACCGATACTTCCTGGTTATTGGTATGTGCTTTCTTTTCCCATTTACTTAAAGTTTTTATACAAATAAATTAATGTGGTAGCCCACAGGGAGAGGATAGGCATATTTGCAAATGTCAGATTTCAAGGAATATGCTTGTTCTGGTGTATACATTATTAATTATTTCAATTTTCTGTTGTCACTTGTTTTCCTTTGGTGTTTATTTTTTGTTTCTCCAATTTTCATGAGTTATAGTCATGTCTGAGAACAAGAAGACAGTATGACTTCAGAAGAAGAAAACATGGAAAACAATAGCATGTATGATTATAGAGGAAAAGTAGTTGTTTTAAGTCACAAGCTACTTTATGCATAGGTTTATGACATGTCTCTGCTCAATTTCGCTTTATACCTTTAAGTAAGAGAGAGGCTGAGCCTTGAGCAGTGATAAAGTTGTTCCTTTGTGACTAAAAAGTAACGTTCAAATCCAGAAAATAACATTTTTGCAAATATGCTAGGGTATGACTGTTACAAGAATTGTCCTCACCTCTACTCTCACTAGTCGGGATTTAATGAGGAGTAATTTTTTTAGGTAAAGATAGCTTTAAGTAGAGGTTAGGGAATTTGGTTGGGTTATATTTCTAGTTCAGGATCACTAGATGCTCCGGGTGTGCAAAAAAACTTAATAAACTGAACCGAATACTGAACCAATCGAATCGCACCAAATGAACCACATTTTTTTGAACCAATTTGAGAATCAAACTATTTTTCAATTCAGTTCTCGAATTGAACCACTTTACCAATTCAGTTCATTACGGCTAAAAACCTAACCAAAATGAACCATACCCTTTTGTAGGAGTGTGAAAAAACCAAATGAACCAAACCAAACTGCAAATCAAATCGAACCACACCACATTTTTTTGAACTAGTTTTTATAACCGAAACATTTTTTTTGAACCTGTTTAATAACCGAACAATTTTTTAAAACTGATTTGATTTGCCTGAAGTGAACCACTATTCGGTTCGGTACGAACCATGCAAACCCCTACTGGATGCAGTAAAGTCTATTGGGGCTGAGTCTGCTGCTGTAAACATGGTGCAATCCTGATGGTTCTTCATGACTACTAAATTATAGTAATAGCCCATATACTGTGTATCAAAACTCTTTTTGTCCTTCCCCTGTAGGTAACATGATCCAACACTTGAGGCCTAGTCTGCTTAATACTAAACCTGCCTTATTTACCCCCAGAATCTAATGTTGAACCTGATAAAAAGCATTTTGCAATTGTTAGTCTTAAATCATTCAAATACTAATTCATTCATTTTTGAAAATTCCTTTCACACACAATTCACTGTATTTTTTTTTTTGCTTTCCTTGCCAATTGGATCTTGTTTTCTGATACTGACAGCTTGGATATCCGGATTGCAATAATTGCCTCAAATAAGTGATTTTATTTTATGCTTTAAAAACCTTGGAAAAAATTACTAGTTCAGTAACAATCATAGGCAAAGCCATTTTTCATCCAATGAGTTATGTGCTGTCATTCACTGCATCTTAAGATTTTAGAAGCCTTTGCAATCCTATATTATTTCTATACATAAAATCTGACATTTACATGTGTACAAAACTTTGGCAGGGCCATCTTTCATGCTGCAGGCACTGCAATGTTCTGGTTGTGTTTGCTTGGAATTGTGATAGCAGCATTGCTTCCTCGTTTTGTTGTAAAATTTATCTATCAATATTATTGTCCAAACGATATTCAGATTTCAAGAGAAGTTGAAAAGTTCGGGGATCAAGTCAATGAGGTTGGACAGGTAGAAATGCATCACATCCCAAATGGTCCACCAAGATAACAGAAGTGATCTTGTCCCTTTATTTGTATCATTTCTTTTGTAAAGTTACATATTATATAATAGGCTACGTCAGAGTATTTCTGTTGGTTGCCCCATTTCATTGTTTTTCTATCCAAAGGATAGAGTATCGGTTGTATGTTTATTCTTTTGTATCGATAAATTAGCCTGTTGTAAATTGACATTGATCATAGCAGAAAAAGAAGAAAGTTGTTTACACATGTTACAAATTAAATTTTAACACGAAGAGTTGAATTCATTGCCTCCTTGATGATGTTAGTTTATTTTACCCTTGGATTTTCGTTTTTTCTTCTTGGCAATATTGGACATGATGCTATTGTTCTTCCCTAATAATATGATATTGCTGGCAATACATATAGTTAAGGGGGTGTTTGGTATCGGAGAAATTTTTTATTACTGAGAAAAAAAAAAATCTCGGAATATGGATGGGTAATTTTTTTGGCCCGTGTAAGTTACAAAAAGGTGTTTGGTAGGCAAAAAATTTATTGAAAAAGTTGGGTTATTTTTACTAATGCTATGTTTGGTTGACGGTGAAATATTGATGGAAATGTGTTATGATATTACAAAATTACTCATATTAATGGTCAAATAATGTTAAAATATTAGAATGACAGTTAGCAAACTTACATTGGTATCCACTGTAGTTTTCAAAATTTCTGATTCCAAGAAATTTTGCTGAACCTCTCTTCTCTCTTCGGCATTAACCTCTCTTCTCTCTTCGGCATTGGGGACTCAGATTAAAAAAATACCACATTTCAGATTGCAATTTTTTTTTCCATTGCCCAGTACAAAGCGAAATGTATGGGAGGAATATTATACCGGTATTCTCTAACTTGAAGACATACCAAACAGGATTAATATATTTCACGTACACCACTTCCCCTACATTTCTATCAAATTTTTTATACCAAACACCCTTTTAAATTCGTGGGACAGAACTCGCAAAAGTCATAACTGACCCTTCATTATTGAAATTTATGAATATTTATAAAGAGAGATAAATACAAAATTTTCACCCTACATCCCTTCGTTATTCTTTTCAGTAAATACGTAAAGGGTAATTTGAAAGTGTTGTTTCATTTTTCTTGATTTGGCAAGTTGAACAGTTTGTTTCCCATGGTTCAGGGTTTTGTTGTTGCGCCATCTTGAGTCACTTTTTTGGGCACTACTTGTTCTACGTAAGGCATGTTCCAAGTTAGAGAACGTGCAATAAGAATTTTTGGAAGAGATATTCATATTCATATTCATATTCATATTCATATTCCCGATAAGCCCAAACTCAGCACAGATTCAAACTCGCTTACTCAGATTCATCCTCTGCCTCAACCCATCATGTACTCTCTGCTAGAGCTTAGTGAGTGGTTTTTTTGTTAACTCTATTTCATAGTGCTAATATCATGTACTCTGGGTCTGAATTGAATGCTAATCCTTGGATAATATGTACTGTTTGATTGCATTTAGTGATAATATTATATCTTGAATTTCTGTAGATTTATCTCATGTACTAATTTAACTCTTTGAGTTCTACCTTACATATTCCTACGTGAGGTCCAACTTCCAAGAGCATAACTATGTTCAAAACTTTTAGAATGAGTATGTATTGCCCTTTATTCTTGAAGTGACTTGTGAGAATTTGCTAAAGAGCAAAACCACATCACATAATTTGAGGTCGTACGCTAGAAAATCAAAATGCTCCTTTGCAAATGATAAATTCCTAAGATTGCGACACGAGGTCACTCAAATTAACACCATTAAAATGAAAACAAATTAACACTTCATTACTTAGTTGCTTGAACAAAAATGTAAATTACAAGGAAACATGTATAATTATTCTCCAGGTAGCTTAGTTCATGCCATGGGGCATGAATAAGAGTCCGTTTGGATAAGTTTTTGTTTTTGTTTTTTTTTTTTTTTTCAAAAAGTTACTTTTTTCAGGAAAAAAAAACACTTCTCACTTTAAGTTCGTTTGGATGTCTGTTTTTTAAAAAAATAGAAATCACAAAAAAAGTCAAAAATTTACTTTTTTTAGAAATTAAAAATTTAAACTTCTAAAAAAAACAGAAGTCAAAAGTTAAATATTTTTTTTCAAAAATTAAATATTTTTATAAAAATATAAATAACTTTAACTTTTATAAAAAAACAGTTCTAAATGAAGGAAGAGATAAAAACTACTTTTTCTAAAAGTCCAAACAAACGGGCTCTAAGTCTATAAGTAAAGAGAAAATCAAAGAGGACATAAACATTTGAGAACTTAATCCTAATTACAAAAGCTAAAGTAAAAAAGAAAAAAGAAAAAAAAGAAAAAAGGAAGAACAAATTCTATAAATATTTTTGTTGTTGGAGGTCTCCAATGGAGAGTCATGCCCCTCTTCTTCAATAATGTGATAACAGTCCTTTTTCTTTCCCTTTTCATCCACAGATCTAAAACATTTCTCTCTTCTTGATCTTGATCCAATGGTGTGTTGTTGGCCAGCTACATATTATCCTTTCAAAATTTTGTTATGCGTTTTGGGAGAATTAGGTAGATTTTATTTTCTCTATCATCCAATGGTGGTTGTGTTTCCTTCTTTTGCACTTCTAGGTTTATGAAAGGATACCTACCTTTAGTTTTTTTTGTCCAAAATACCTCTTGAAGTGTCTTCAGCGTTAGTATTTTTACTTCGGTTATTAATTGCTTTTAGAAGCTCATTTTTTCATGTCTTCATTTTTCCTAAACTTGGCTTCCTACCCATGTCTTCGTTTTTTTATCCTATCTTGTCGAATTTTAACCCAAGTCATCTCGAAATAGGGTAAGAACAAGATATGACAATTTATCCTATTAGGTTGTGAAAAAATAAAATGAATCAACTTCATAAATTTATCATATCCTATTGATAGGGTAAGAACAAGATATGACAATTTATCTTATCATACCCCTTTATTCTAAGGTAATTTATTTTCTATACACATATAAAATATAGGTAAAGGATTTCTCCAGTGGAGATAAATTATCTCCGATTAGTCTAAAATGACTTTGTTTTGGGACGAAAATCAAAGTATTTTTGTAATTTTAATATATTGCAGGGCCATATTAGTCTTTATCATTATAATTTTTAATCTTATAATCTTAAAACGGCATCGTTTTGAGCTCACTGTAGATAATTGTATCTCCAGTGACCGAAGAAATACTTTTCCCATAAAATATATGAGAAAAAGAGAGATAAAGAAAAAATATTAACTCCACATATTTTTATGTGTATATAAGAGATAAATTTATCTTTTATTACATTGGAAACATTAAACCCTTTATTATATCCCTTGAATGTCGTGGAAAAAACTCGTCTCCAGTTTATTGCCTAAACTAGTCGTGTATGTTGCAGCTTTTTTTTTAAAAAATAAAAAATAAAAAATTCGGGTGAGCTTGGTGAAACTCATTGTCTTTGGATTAGGAAACATGTGTGACACTTGCGTTCAAGAGAAGATGCAGAAGAAAACTCATGACAACAACGGCGGAGAAAGAGAACACAAGACGCATAAAACTAGTTTAGAAAGAAAAAAAAATTAAATGCTCCGCATCATAAGGGTTTATGTAAGTGTAACTACAGGCTTTACAAATTTTATTTATCACACCACAACGTTTTGGGTATATCACTTATGAGTTATTAGTGATTATTCGATTTTTGTGTAATATTTTATTTTTTTAAATATGAGCTTCACATAAAGTGTGTTTATAGCATGAGAATTTTTTTTTTCTATTGAATAATAAAATTAAAACCCATTATTTATAGGGGCTTATTTTTCTCATTTTATTAGAGACAAGTTTGCTTTCCAACAAAGATATATTCAATGGTGGAGCCCATTATTTTATTTTATTTTTTAAAAAAATTGCACATTTCTTAATGTGTGTACGAGAGAAGATTATTATCTATGGTAACATTAGGGGGTGTATTAGATTAGAATTTCAAAAGATTTTAATGACTTGTTTTTGTACAAAAAAATCTGTTGTTATTCGATTAGGATTTTAATAGATTGAAAAAAGTCACGTGATATTCGATTAGGGTTTTAAAAGATTATTTTAGAATCCGTCCAAATCCGTTGGTATTCAATCAAGATTTTAAACAATGGAATCACAATCTCATGGTATTAAAAAATCTGACGATTTTAATGAAATTTCTATTGGTGTGGATTTCGTGAGACTTTTTAGTGAAAAATATAAATAGGATTCCTCTCTCAGAATCTCACCCTAATCTCTAGGATTTCTTGAGATTTCTTTATTGTAGTGTTTTCTTCTTACTTTGGCAGGTTGACCCGCTCGAAATCGGGTTTTGCCATGGGAGCTTCATCAAAACTTAAAAATAACATATTTTTGAGCGATTTTCATTACAAAACCCAGAAACAACAAACCAACGAGATTTTTGAGTCATTTTTTGAGAAATTTTGGAAGTTTAAAAAGTTATTTTTCAAGCTATGGGTCGCAATTTTTCTTTGCACAAAAAGATATGATTTTTGTATTAAAAACAATATAAATAGTGGAAAAATAACATGGAACTAAAACCCTCAAACCAATTTTCGTTTTACATCAATGAAACAATATCAATTTAAAGAAAGATTGAAACTTTCATAATTTGAACCCTATATTTCATAACAATACATTCATGAACGAAATTTCTTCACTATATGAAAGGATTTCAAACAATTTTTGTGTCCATAGATAACTAAAAAATTATTTTTCAAAAGCCCAAAAGCAATTTAAGGTTTCAATGTATCGATTGAAAAAAATTTGAGAAATTTTCTAAACTTTCATATAATAAAATTCAAAAATTCAGATTTGAAATTTTCTTATGCATATGATATATGGTTAGAAAACTCTCATCACATAGAACAAAAACCCCAAGGTTTTCAAGATCAATTGCAAAAAATTCAAAACAAAAATTTATCATGAACTTTAGGTTCTATACGCAAATTTAGAATTATTTTAATAATTAAAAAATTGAGTTTTATAATCATATATGCATAGCTTTGATACCAAATGAAGAATATAATTTTCAATCTATTGGTCAACCCAAGAGCATGAATGAGAAAATGTTAATGCGTGGAGGACTAGTATATTTTAGATATGTAAAGAGCTGTTGCTTAGTAATTTTGAATGTTTGCTAAAAATTATATTATGTTTTACTGATTGAGAAAATTATATTAGGTCTTACTCTTT